AAAGCTTTTGCGGAGGGATGGGTGGGAGACTCCGTAGGGGGCTTGACTGCAAAGGGGCAGGAGGGAACTTTCTGGGGTGATGAGACTGTGGCATCTTTTTTTTTTTTGGTCTCACTGCACAGCACGTGGGATCTTAGTTCCTTGACCAGGGATTGAACCCGAGTCCCCTGCATTGGAAGACAGAACCTTAACCACTGGACCAGCAGGGAATTTCCAAAAATGTTGCCTCTTGACTGGGATAGTGACTGAATGGATGTATATATTTGCCGAAACTCGCTGAACTGTAAACTGAAATGGGTGTGTGTTTTATTGTATGCACATTATGCCTCAGTGAAATAACAGATGTCAAACCCTATCTCAAAGGGTTAAAAATAAGGTTCAAGTTAGGTGGTTGTTCAGAGTAGATGAGTTAATGACTGCAAAGTGCTTAGATTGGAGCCCAGCACAGAGTAAGTGTGCAAGTAAATGGTAACCATGGTAACCTGAAAACAAGACTTTTGCTCAGTAAATGGGGCAAGAGAGAGAAATAAACAGAGGGCATCCAGAGGCAGGGGGAGGGGGCAAGGGGCTGAGGAGGGAGGAGGAGAAAGGCAGGGGCTGTGAACATTGCTCCCTGCTAATCCAGGGGGGATGCCCTTATCACCTCTCAGCATCTTCTGGGCTCTGGGGACCAGTCACTGGTCACTCAGCCACTGGTCTGTCCTCAGCCTTCTCTTCTTCATTCATTCCTGCACTGAACACGTGCACTGGACTTCCACCCAGTACAATACCAGGGATCAATAGCTGCTTCTATTTACAGAGTGTGTTCTGGGCATGGGACGCTGCTCAGCGCTGGATGGTTTAGGGTGAGCTGATATTCAACTGGTTTTCACTCACAGAAAAGCAGCTTGTGGTTCAACCAAATACACGATTACGTTCTATTCTCATGACGCATCTGTTGAGGAGATATTGTTCTCCTTTTTTGTGGCTGAGAAGGTTGACGTGCAGGGAGGTGAAGTGGCGGGCTCAAGGTTCCACAGCTATAGAAGTAGCTGGATTTGAATGCAGGTCTGACTCAGAAACCCTTATATTACATGGTCTTTGTCCTTAAAGTATCGATCCAGTGGGGAGATGAACACATTAAATATATCTCCCTGGGTCTCCCCCTGAGGATTCCTCCCTGAGTTCCTATATAGGCTTCTCTCTGCCCCTTACACTCTGGGGATGAGAGTCCTTGGTCCTCTGAGGATGCCACGGCCTTTCCTGCCCCACCCCCTTCTCCCTTGCCCCCTGGGACTTCCCATCCCTGCCTGGCCTGCCTCTCCCTGGGCCTTGGGGTGCTTGTTGTGTGGGCAGAGCCGGCTGGGCCCCAGCTGTTGCAGTGTTTGTGTTCCCCCGCTGCCCCAGGAGGCGTCCCCATTCTGCCCATCTTGTCCTCACTCTGGGCCAGGCCCTCACCAGCCTTGCCCTCTTTCCAGCCTCCCTCTGAGTTTGTGTTTGTCTTTAATTCACAGCTCATTAGCAGATCAAAGAAGACAGGGATGCCCTGTGTCCAAGAGACCCCCAGGCAGCCCCCTCCTTGCACTCTGCAATGCCCTCCTCCTTGGCAGGAGGCAAGGGACTCCCCCGGTTGCTCTTTGTGAAGCAAGAGAGAGGCCAGACGCCCTCATCCGTTGCTGGGCCAGAGACTGAGCTGGTGGGGGTCTGAGGCTAGGATGCTGGGAGGCAGCATCAGCCCCCTCCTCCAGAGCCTGTGCAGGACAAGGACAGTTAATTCCTCTAGTGTTATCAGCTGGGCACAGGCACTGGTTGCATAGCAACCCAGATTGCTCTCTGTCTCCAGTGCTCAAAAAAAAAAAAAAAATCAGCATTTTCTCCAATTCCACATTAACAAGATAGAAATGGGCCTGGGGCAGCCCTGACTCCCTGCCCCCAAGTGTGACTAATTTCCTGGGAGCTTGTACCCATACCCTTTGGTGGGGTCCCTGCTCTTAAGGCCTGTACCTCCTTCGTCCCTCCTACTTACCAGGATGGGTGTAGGAATCACCCTACAATAATCACCCTACACCAATCACCAATCACCCTACAGTAGCGTGCACTTGGGCCAGGACCTAAGTCTGGGTTTGTGCAAGGAAATGCGGGCAGGCCTGGGATCTGGGTTACAGGATGAATTGCAAGAGCCCCAGCCAGTTCTGGCAATAACATCAATTTATTCATTCACTTAAAAAATACTGATTGCGGGAGGGGACATTTGCACACCTATGGCTGATTCATATGATGTTTAACAGAAAATAATAAAATTCTATAAAACAATTATCCTTCAAATAAAAAATAAATTAATTAAAAAAAAATCTTGATTGTGGACTTCCCTGGTGGTCCACTGGTTAAGAATCTGCCTGCTAATGCGAGTGATCCCTGGTCTGAAAACTAAGATCCCACGTGCCTCAGGGTAACTAAGCCCATGTCCCACAACTACTGAGCCTGTACTCTAGAACCTGTGTTCTGCAACAAGGGAAGCCGCCACAACGAGAAGCCCTTGGGTCACAATAAAGAGTAGCCCACACCTCTGCAAGTAGAGAAAGCCTGTGCGCCACAACAAAAGACCCGGCACAGTCAAAAATAAACAAATTGGAAAAGTTAATTTTAAAAAAGAAGTATTTATTGAGCACCTGTTGTTGTTGCTTAGTCACTAAGTCATGTCCAACTCTTTGTGACCCCCATGGACAGTAACCTGCCAGGCTCCTCTGTCCGTGGGACTTCCCAGGCAAGCATACTGGAGTGGGTAGCCATTCTCTTCTCCAGGGGACCTTCCTGATCCAGGGATCGAACCCCGGTCTGCTGCATTGACAGGTGTGTCCTTCACCACTGAGTCACCATGGAAGACCTTATTTAGCATGTACTGGATACCATAACCTTAAACTCTCCAGATTTGGTGGCTTAAAAATGGTGCAGATTCTTTGCCACTCCTTTCCTGGAGAAATAGACTCTATTTCCCTTCTTCTTAAGTCAGTGCTGACTCTATGACTCTGGCCTGTTTGACCAATAGTATGTGACAGTACTGACACTGTGTAGCTCTGAAACTAAATCCTAGGAGATCAACAGCTTCTGTCTTTGTCACTTGAAATGCTCCTTCTTGCAATCCAACCACCATGATGTGAGGAAGCCCAACCAGCCACGTGGAAAGACCCTCCTGAAACCTGTATCATTTGCCAGCCATGTGAGAAAGTCATATGATGGCATGGGAAGCTGAAGAAGCATCCAGTTGAACCCTACCAAAACCTTGACCCACAGAATGATGAGCAAATAATACCATTGTTGCTTTAAGCTAGTACTTTTTAAATTTAAATTTAAATTTTATATTGGAGTATAATTGATTTGGGCTTCCCTGGGGGCTCAGCTGTAAAGAATCCACTTCCAATGCAGGAAGCACAGATGTGGGTTTGATCCCTGGGTTGAGAGGATCCCCTGGAGGAAGGCATGGCAACCTACTCTGGCATTCTTGCCTGGAGAATCCCTTTCTTTATAGTCCAAATCTCACATCCATACATGACCACTGGAAAAACCATAGCTTTGACTAGACGGACCTTTGTTGGCAAAGTAATGCCTCTGCTTTTTAATATACTGTCTAGGTTAGTCATAACTTTCCTTCCAAGGAGTAAGCATCTTTTAATTTCATGGCTGCACTCACCATCTGCAGTGATTTTGGAGCCCAGAAAAATAAAGTCAGCCCTGTTTCCACTGTTTCCCCATCTATCTGCCATGAAGTGATGGGACCAGATGTCATGATCTTAGTTTTCTGATGTTGAGCTTTAAGCCAACTTTTTCACTCTCCTCTTTCACTTTCATCAAGAGGCTTTTTAGTTTCTCTTCACTTTCTGCCATAACGGTGGTGTCATCTGCATATCTGAGGTTATTGATGTTTTTCCCGGCAATCTTGATTCCAGCTTGTGCTTCCTCCAGCCCAGCATTTCTCATGATGTCCTCTGCATATAAGTTAAATAAGCAGGGTGACAATATACAGCCTTTACGTACTCCTTTTCCTATTTGGAATCAGTGTGTTGTTCCATGTCCAGTTCTAACTGTTGCTTCCTGACCTGCATACAGGTTTCTCAAGAGGCAGGTCAGGTGGTCTGGTATGCCCATCTCTTGAAGAATTTTCCACAGTTTATTGTGATCCACACAGTCAAAGGTTTTGGCATAGTCAATAAAGCAGAAATAGATGTGTTTCTGGAACTCTCTTGCTTTTTCAATGATCCAGCGGATGTTGACAATTTGATCTCTGGTTCCTCTGCCTTTTCTGAAACCAGCTTGAACATCTCGAAGTTCACAGTTCACGTATTGCTGAAGCCTGGCTTGGAGAATTTTAAGCATTACTTTACTAGCGTGTGAGATGAGTGCAGTTGTGTGGTAGTTTGAGCATTCTTTGGCATTGCCTTTCTTAGGGATCGGGATGAAAACTGAACTTTTCCAGTCCTGTGGCCACTGCTGAGTTTTCCATATTTGCTGGCATATTGAGTGCAGCACGTTCACAGCATCATCTTTCAGGATTTGAAGTAGCTCAACTAGAATTCCATCACCTCCACTAGCTTTGTTCGTAGTGATGCTTCCTAAGGCCCACTTGACTTCACATTCCAAGATGTCTGGCTCTAGGTGAGTGATCACACCATTGTGATTATCTGGGTCATGAAGATTTTTTTTGTACAGTTCTTCTGTGTATTCTTACCACCTCTTTTTAATATCATCTGCTTCTGATACATCCCTACCATTTCTGTCCTTTACTGAGCCCATCTTTGCATGAAATGTTCCCTTTGTAGCTCTAATTTTCTTGAAGAGATCTCTAGTTTTTCCCATTCTATTATTTTCCTCTATTTCTTTGCATTGATCTCTGAGGAAGGCTTTCTCATCTCTCCTTGCTATTCTTTGGAACTCTGCATTTTTTAAATTTAAATTTTAATTTTTTTGCAATAATGTCTCAACTTTTATTGACTCCCTGCTCCCCAGGGGACCCTGCTTCTGCTGCCTCAGTGCCTCAGAACCTTGGTGTCTGAGGTCTCAGACACCACTTTGCCATCCACAAGCCGGAGGGCGGTGGTCTTATGGATGGTTTGCCTGGAGTCGCTGCTGTCCAGAGCGTCGCCAGGGCTGAAATCCTCCCCATCTTCCAGCAGGTGGCGGTAGGTATTGATCTCAGCCTCCAGCTTGACCTTGACATTCATCAGCAGGGCCTCGTACTCCTGGGGCTGGCGTTGCCCCTCTGCCCGGGTCTGGGCCAGCTCTGACTCCAGGTGCAGGAGGACTCCGTTGAGCTGCTCCATCTGCATGGCGTAGCAGGCCTCCACTTCCCTCAGGCTGTTCTCCAAGCTGGCCTTCAGGTTTCTCATGGAATCCAGGTCGATCTCCAGGGACTGGACGGTGCGCCTCAGCTCTGTGAGGGTCATCTCAGCAGCTCCTATCTCAGCGGTCTGTGAGGTGACCACTGTGGTGCTCTCCTCAATCTGCTGAGACCAGTACTTGTCCAGCTCCTCTCGGTTCTTCTGAGCCAGCTCATCATACTGGGCCCGGATATCTGCCATGATCTTGCAGAGGTCCTGAGGTTTGGGGGCATCCAACTCCACAGTCAGCCCAGAGTTGGCAATCTGGTTTTGTAGACCCTTTACTTCCTCCTCATGGTTCTTCTTCATGAAGAGCAGCTCCTCCTTGAGAGCCTCGATCTCAGTCTCCAGCTGCAGCCGGGTGACACTGGTGTCATCAGTGACCTTGCGGAGCCCGTGTATGTCATTCTCCACAGACTGGCGCATGGCCAGCTCCGTCTCATACTTGACTCTGAAGTCATCAGCAGCAAGACGGGCATTGTCAATCTGCAGAACGATGCGGGCATTGTCCACAGAATTTGCAAAAATCTGAGACCTCAGGTCCTCGATGATCTTCAGGTAATGCCCCCAGTCTCTGACCTGGGGTCCCTTCTTCTCCAGATGTTCCCGGATTTTGCTCTCCAGTCTCCGGTTATCAGCCTCCAGGCTCCTCACCTTCTCCAGGTAGGAGGCCAGGCGGTCATTCAGGTCTTGCATGGTCTCCTTCTCTCCCTGGATGCCCCCCACACCCACCAGACCCCCGGCCATCCCGGCCCCCAGGTTCCCGGACCCCCAGCCGCCCCGGACGCTGGTGGAGTGGGACACGGAGATCCGGGAGCCCGAGCCCCCGGCGCCTGCATAGACGCTGGCCGCGCTGCTGCCCGGTCGGACCCGGTGGCCCGACGACTGCATGGAGCCCAGGGACCAGTAGTTGGAGAAGGTGGATTGGGCTGAAGCTCATGATGTTTGTTCAAGAGGAAGGAGCGAGGCCAGGACTCAGGTGCTGGACCATGGAACTCTGCATTTAAATGGGTATATCTTTCCTTTTCTCCTTTGCTTTTCGCTTCCCATCTTTTCACAGCTATTTGTAAGGCCTCTTCAGACAGCCATTTTGCCTTTTTTCATTTCTTTTTCTTAAGATTATCTTTAAAGTGTGAGCCTGCTTCTATTGTGTAAATAAGTTCATTCATATCATCTTTTAAGATTCTGCATATAAGTGATATCCTATGATATTTGTTTTTCTCTGACTTATTTCACTTAGTATGATAATCTCTAGGTCCATCCTTAGTATTGCAAATATCAATATTTCATAATTTTTTTTGACTGAGTAATAGTCCATTTTATATATATATATATATATATACATACACACACACACACACACACACATATATATACCACGTCTTCTTTATCCAATCCTCTGCCAGTGGTTTTCAGGTTGCTTTCGTGTCTTGACTATTGTAAATAGTGCTGCAGTAAGCATTGGAGTGCATGTATCTTTTTGAAGTATAGAGTTCTCCAAAAACTATTAAGTTTTGGAGCAGCTTATTAGGCAACAATAACTGAGACACTAGGAAAACTTGCTTTTTTTCACTCATAGACTCCCAGGTAACAGTAACATGGCTTAGGTATCTGATGTTGCTGGGCCTTGTGCTAAGCTCCAAAGTAAAATGCCACTCAAAAGAGTTGAAGTCTAAATTTCTGTATAGCTGGGGATTATCAAGAGGTGGCAGGGATGCAGGAGAATGGAACCAGGAACTGAGATAGAAGCAGGTAATGAATAGAAGTAATTTGTAATTAGAAGAGTCAAGAAAGAGAGGCAGTGAGGAAGGCATCCTCAGTTCCTGACCAGTACACATAATTTTAAATTTGGGTACCAGCCTGCTTATTTGGAAGTGGGTGTCTGGACACTGGGCCACACTGGGAAAGATTCTGATGCTAAGTCAGTTTCAGAGAGCTGTGATTGATTAGTGATGTCTGCAGCGGGGAGGCGAGGAGAATATAGACACACACGTCATACATGTGCCTCTTGAACCCAAACTGTCTGCTGGCCTCCATGGCTAACTCTCCAGGTGTTCAGATAGGTCCTGTGAGGGCTGGAGCCGAGAAGACCACAGATGTACACTCTTATTTGTGTCCTTCCATGTAAACTAGCAGGGCAGCTTCAGAGGGTTCATTTTAGTTTAGGTTTTGTTTTGATTTTTCATGTCTCCTAGTCAATTGAGTTCAGAATTCCGTTGTCTCATCCTGTGTGGTTGGGTCAGACTTTCTTGGCCTTTACCACACATCAAAACCACTGATGGAGAATTCCCTGACAGTCCAGTGGTTAAGACTGCTCACTTACAATGAAGGGGGCATGGGTTTGATCCCTGGTCAGGGAACTAAGATCCCACATGCTGTACAGCCAAAAGGTTAAAACAAAACAAAACCAAAAAGCCCGCTGATGATGGGCAGCAGGCATGGGGGGGTGGGGTGCAGAGTTGTGGTGTGTAGGAGGCATGGGATGAAATGGCAGGAGATGAGGCTGGAGAACTAGGTTTCTCAGAGTGTGGTACACTGAACAGCAACATTGGCGTCCCGGGAACTTGTTAAAAATGCAGATTCTTGGGTCTTACCCCAAATCTACTAGACCAGAAACCTCAGGGCCAGGACCAGAAACTATGTTTTAACAAGTCCTTAGGTGGATCTGGTGTGTGCTCATGTCTGAGAAGCCCTGGGTTATCAAGAGCAGAGGGAGGAGCCGTGGAAGGTCTTCTGTGACACGGAGGGACTTCCCCCTTGCTGCCTCCACAGTCTTCCTCCTTCGTGGAGCCCCCTTGACAAGAGCTCGAGGGAGGAGGAAATTTCCTCACGCTCTTTTGGCTGCATGCATGAGTGCTAAGTCACTTCAGTCGTGTCCGACTCCTTGCGACCCTATGGACTGTAGCCCAGCAGACTCCTCTGTCCATGGGATTCTCCAGGCAAGAATCCTGGAGTGGGTTGCCATCCCCTCCTCCAGGGGATCTTCCTGACCCAGGAATTGAACTCGCATCACTTGTGTCTCCTGCATTGGCAGGGGGTTCCTTAGCACTAGCACCACCTGGGAAGCCCAATTTTGGCAGCAATTCATTCCAACATCTGTCCTTTTCCTCTCTCCCACTCTTTTGCCATGTATTCCAGCACCAGTCACAATGGGATGTGAAAGTGAAGTCAGTCAGTCATGTCCGACTCTTTGCGATCCCATAAACACCAGGCTCCTCTGTCCGTGGGATTTTCTAGGCAAGAGTACTGGAGTGGGCTGCCATTTCCTTCTCCAGGGAATCTTCCCAACCCAGGGATAGTCATGGGTAATTGTGTGCAATTCCCTTATTCTGATGTGCCCATGATGTGTACAGGTGTCACATCAACCCCTCCTACAGTTCAGACCCTGAGCCCTGACTTGCTAGTGAGATGTGACTTCTGAGTCAATTTCACATGTCCGAAGACTGTGGAGGGCTCCTCTGGGCACTGATGGATCTGCTGATGGAGCAGTGATGGAGAAGGAATACCCTGGAAGCATCTTCCACCCCTTCACCCCAGTTTTTATCTGAAAGTCTTTGTCCCATATCTGACCTTTCTGAGATACCCCCTCCTCCATGAAGCCCTCTCTACCTGCCACTCCCCACCTTCATCCTGATTATGCCCCTCCATCACTATGAGCTTACAGCCCCCTTAACCTTGCCTGTTGCAGCACCTTTCATGCTGTTCTCTGATTACTTGTTTAACTGTTTCTTTCTCCACCACAAGCCTGAGACCTTGTGCGTCTTACTCGGGGTGACAACTCCACAACCCTGCCCACAGTGACCTCTATTCCACTTTCAGCATCATGCCAAGGGCTTTATGGGCATTGTGTCAATTAAACTTGATACTCGCCTTATGAGATAGGCAGTTTTTCATCCCCATTTTATAGATGAGGAAACTGAGGCACAGGAAGTAAAATACATTGCCCAAACCCACAGGGCTAGTGAGTCACAGTCTGCCTGCCTCCAACAAGATAAACACATCTTGTTTTGTGAGTACTATTGTTACTTTTGTTTTTGTTCCAGGGAGGGGGATGATGAAAACATTTCCTGAGCATCTTTTTTTTAAGATTTATTTAGTTTTGACTGCGCTTTGTCTTCGTTGCTGCGGGCCTTCTCTAGTTGCAGTGAGCAGGGGCTACTCTTCGTTGCACACAGGGGCTTCTCATCGCGGTGTCTTCTCTTATTGTGGAGCATGACCTCTAGGCAGTAACCTTCAGTAGTTGTGGCACACAGGCTCAGTAATTGCGGCTCATGGGTCTACAACGTTGGCTCAGTAGTGACGCACACACTCAGTTGCTCCGTGGCTTGCGGAATCCTCCAGGACCAGGGATCGAACTGTGTCCCCTGCATTGGCGGGAGGATTCTTAACCACTGGCCAGGGAAGTCCTTCTTGAACACCTTTCTTGGTCCCTGGAGTCTGCAGCCATCTCCTGACCACTGGCTTGAAGTCCTAGCAACACTGCTAGGGACACTGAGGAAGGACCTGGCAGAGATGAGTCTTGTCTGGGACCAGGGACCACGACGTTTCGGGGACAAGGAGCCAGTGTCTCTGCTTAGACTCAGCCATGGTCCAGGGACTTCAAGGGAACTGTGCCTGCAGGGCGCTGACTGGCAGCTCTGGCAGATAGCGTCTCCCAGCTCCCCCTCTCTTCAAGCTACAGTCATTAGCTCTGCAAATTAGCATCGTAATTGCCTCTTAACTATTCATAGCCGTGAAAGAGATGAGGATGGTCCTGCCCATCCCCCTCTCTGCCCAGAGACCCCCTCAGCCTCCCTCTCTGGCCAGGAACACCCCCTGCCTGCCCTCCCAAGAAGGTTCATTGCAATCTTGAACCTCTATTGCTCCATCCCCTAAGCGAAGGTGATGATTCAAATCTCAGAGGCCCATTGAGAGGCATGGAAAAAGCCGGCGCGGTTCTTGGCACCTGTGAGCGCTTGCTGTTGATGCTGTTGTTGTTGTTGTGTTTGGAGACTCAGCGAGAACAAACATTTGCAAGTGGCTTGGCCCCAGGCTAGCACTCAGGTTCTCTCTGCAATGAGCTCAGAGCTCTTCCTCCATGCTGTCTCAATCCTTGACTTTATCTTTCCCTGCCAACCAGACCTGGAGGGCTTGTAATCACCAGAGCGGACAGTAAACAAGACCTTGCCTAAAGGCATTCTCCTTTCTCATCATAATTAGAAAGTTTTTAGTTTAAACCAATTAGGGCTTAATTAAACAGGGGATTTGCCCCAACTCTGTTAACCACTGTGTCATTCAGTTTAAGGCTTCCCCGCTGGCTCAGCAGTAAAGAATCAGCCTGTCAATGCAGGAGACATGGGTTTGATCCCCGGGTCCAGAAGATCCCCAGGAGAAGGAAATTCTTGTCTGAGAAATGCCATGGACAGAGGCACCTGGTGAGCTACAGTTGGTGGGGTCACAAAGAGTTGGATATGACTCAGCAACTGAACAACAACAACGTCTGGTTTGTCTGTTGTAAATGTAAAGATGCACCAGAGTCGTGGTGAAGGGACTGATGCTCAAGCCCAGCTTCCTGGGTTCAAATCCAGTTCTGCCACTTCGTTCAGGGTGACCTTGGGCCAATTATCTGACGTCTCTGTGCTTCAGCTTCCCACTCTGCAAAATGAGGATGAAAATAACAAATGCTTCCCTGTAGGACTGTTGTAAGGTGTCTATTGGTCACTATGTGTACAGTAACTAGAACAGTGATACAATATAGTAAGTACTAGGTGTTTGCCCTTATTACTTATTAAGCATCTTTTACTACTCACTTGTATGGCTTCTGCACTGTTTTGGGGGAGAAAGTTTCTGCAATGATCATCAGCAAGATGCTCTTAGGCCAGTCACCATCACACGGATCACAGACAAAGTGCTTTCCTGCCCTTCATTTCAACTTGAATCTGTGTCGGGCCAGGAGGGGAGAGCCCCAGGCTGGCCCCATTGACAGATGGGAAAATTGAGGCTCAGAAAGGTGAAGTGACTTTCCCCAGGTCACACCGATTGTGGATGGGAGAGCCTGCATTTGCACGCCATTAAGTCACCAGTGGTGGATGCCAAATGGCAAAGGCCACAGCAGGCCCTGTATCTTCTCAACCCTCGCAGCCCCTGTCACCAGCATCTCCACAGTGGATGCAAATACCAGACCTTTCTTCAAGGTGAGAGGCAAGATACCTGGCAGTGGTTAGAAGCACAGATAAACCGAGTTGATGCAAGGGATTAAATAAACTAATGTTTTTAGGGACCAACAGGGTGTGAGGCGCATAACTGCACAGTGAGTAATCTCTATTATTATGACTAGTCCTGTTATCGTTTAGCTCAGAATATCAGCTCTTAATGACCTCACCTGATACACTACTTCCAGGCCTGGATTTTAAATCGCCTGCACAGGTTAATGCTTTGTCCTGGCTTCAAATATATAAATCCTGCTGTGAGAAGGACATGCCCTCTTTAGTCATATTGCAGCTCTGCTTTGGCAGAGAAGAAAGTAGCAGCTTGATGCTGGTATGTCTTTTACACAAGCCTAGCACTCCTGATCTCCTTTTTTAAAAAAAAAATAATTTTATTTATTTATTTATTTTTGGCTGTACTGGGTCTTCTTCGCTGCGCGGATGGAGCACGGGCTTCTCGTTGTGGTGGCTTCGCTTGTTGCAGGGCACAGGCTCTGGAGCTTGCCAGCTTCAGTAGCAGCAGTGCGTGGACTCAGCAGCTGTGTTTCCCGGGCTCTAGAGCACAGGATCGATAGTTGTGGCCCACGGGCTTCGTTGCTCCGGAGCATGTGGAATCTTCCCAGACCAGGGATCAAACCCATGTATCCTACACTGGCGGGCGAATTCTTAACCATTGAGCCACCAAGGGAGCCCTGGAACTTTTTTTTAAGGAGAAAGCAAGCAGCCTTGACTGGCTTGATTTTAGTAGCATTATGGTTCTTTCATTGTATTTATCTTTATAGATATCTTACCTTTATGGCTAGAGATACTGGTTTTGCATTTATGGCCGTAATATGAATTCCCTTTTAAATAAATGTAAAAATAGTAAAAGTTGAAATTTAGTAAGTAGTTGAAAAAGTAAGAGTTGAAACCAATTTAAAGAAAAATATTAAGAAAATAATTAATAGTGTGGCTGGCACACAGATAAAGCCTACATTTTGATAGTGATTTGTAGATGATTAAATTAGAGAATGCTGCCTTTATCCAGAAGGTAAGAAGACTGAGCATTCAGAGAGAGGCCTGGAGGAGACTGGACTCTTGTGAGTGGCCCCTGGAGCCAAGAAACCCAGACCTGGGGTCAGCCAAGCCAGTGCTGGGGCTTCCCCGGTGGCTCAGAGATAAAGAATCTGCCTGCAATGCAGGAGACACAAGGCATGTGGGTTTGATCCCTGGATCAGGAAGATCCCCTGCAGAAGGGCATGGCAACCCACTCCAGCATTCTTGCTTGGAGAACCCCATGGACAGAGGAGCCTGGCAGGCTATAGTCCATGGGGGTCACAAAGAGTTAGACACAACTGAAGCAATTTAGTCCACACACACGCCAGCCACTGCCAACTTCCCCTAGGTGTCCTCTGTCAAAGGTAGAGAGCCAGATGCTAGTTGAATGTGGGAAGGACAATTTTTATTTTAACACAAAATAGTAACATACTTTTGCAATACTGAAGAGTCCAGTATGAACTGAACTCAACTCAAATTTGTACAGAGGTGGCTGGTTATATCAGAGGGAGAATGAGGGAATGGGGGTTGGAGGGGGGACCAACTCAGTGCTCAACGGAGTTAGTGAAAATTTACAAGAAGTGGGAAGAGGTAAGTGATCCATGTGAAACCCATCTGGGTTTGCTCCCACCCTCCCTCAGGCGCAGGACACAGTGGCCCATATTCAGGTGTCGGCTGGAAGAAATGGTCTGTTCAGTAAGCAGTCTTGAGTTTTCCCAGGAGGCACTTTAAGGGGGGCCTAGGGTCATCTTACGGAGAAGGCAATGGCACCCCACTCCAGTACTCTTGCCTGGAAAATCCCATGGATGGAGGAGCCTGGTAGGCTGCAGTCCGTGGGGTCGGGAAGAGTCAGACATGGCTGAGCGACTTCACTTTCACTTTTCACTTTTATGCATTGGAGAAGGAAATGGCAGCCCACTCCAGTGTTCTTGCCTGGAGAATCCCAGGGATGGGTTCGCACAGAGTCGGACACAACTGAAGTGACTTGGCAGCAGCAGCAGAGGGTCATCCTGGGAAGTGGCCTTGAGCTGTTAGAAACTGTTCGTGTTTGTTCAAGTCCTTATAGACCAAGGTCTTGGACTTGCTGAGTAGAGGGCTCGGGAAAGCCGGGCTGGAGTTTGGTTAAGGAGAGAACCTTGGTCATCTCCGAGAGGGTCTCAGGCTAACCAAGGCACACCACCTGTGCTCTGCATGGGGTATGTGCATCTGCAGGTGTGTCCCCAGCTCCCACTGTCCTCATGTGGTTTCCACTGTATTTGCTGAAGTTCCACTGCGAGCCCAGAGATTGAGGGTGGGTGTGCAGGTGGGGCTGGAGGTGGAGGCCATCCCCTGAGATGACCTTCAGAGTGTTTTAAATAATATAATGTTTTAAATAATATAGTGTTTTAAATAATATAAATAATAACAGCGATCTACGAGGGTTCACCGTGTCAAGAGCCATCTGCATGTCACTTAATCTTCCCCAAAACTCTGTGACACAAATAATATTACCCACACTTCACAGATGGGGAAACTGAGGCTCAGAGAGATGAGGTGACTTTTCCAGGGGCACACAGTGGATGTACAGTGGAGCCAATTGGACCGAGATCTTCCTGACCCCAGAGTGTTTTTACTTGAATGGTAGAGAGCCAAAGGATACTGTGATCGCTTCAAAACTTGCCCCCCAGTTTCTGGATACTCACTGCCAAGAAGTAACATTTATTCCCCCTCACTTAAATGTGGCTGGCCAGGGGCTGAGGGGCAGAACTGTGGAGTCAGTCAGACATTCAGCTCAGCACCATCCAAAGAAAATATACGGCAGCCACAAATATAACCCACATATATCATTCTACATTTTTAGTAGCCATATTTTTAAAAAATAATGAGACAGGTAAAGTTAATTTTAGGAATATATTTTATTTAACTTAATGGATCCAAAATATTCATGTCAACATTTCAACACAGAATCAATATAAAAAGTTGTTAATGAGCTATTTTACATTCTTTCCTTCACACTCAAAGTTCAGTCTGCATTGTATGCTTGCTTCACATCTCTAGTGGGGCTCTAGGGGCTACTGGCCACATGGTTAGTAGCTCCTGTAGGGGACAGTGAACGCTTTTATGCCAGGCACTTGGAACCTAAGGCTGGACTGGCCGTGGGGGCCGCAGGAGCCAGGTCAGAGACCACCGGCCCACACTGAGAACCCACCTTCCCTGACCAGACCTGCCAAGGAGACGTGTTTTTTGACCTGTCCACCCTGCCACCTTCTCTTCCATTAGGGGTTCTCTTGAGCCTTCACTTCTCAGGTAGGAGGAGGAGGAGGGGGAGGCCAGGCATTCAGCTGGGTACTTAAGAAAGGGGTAGTGAGGGACAGACTGCCCTGCTCTTAGGAAGCTTTAAATCAGTCAGTGTCTAATAACAAAATTTGACACATGTCTTGAAAGAGAAGGAAATCAACAGGGTGGCATAAGGACTAAAAAGGTAGTGGGAAATTCTACTTCCAAAAGGATATTCAGGGAGGGCTTCTGGAGGCGGTGACATTCAGCTGAGAGGGTAGGAGCCAGTCATGGCAGACTGAGGTCCACAGCTTTCCACACAGAAGGAGGAACACGTGCAGAGACCCGAGGTCATGAAAGCGGTCAGCGTGTCCAGGAAACAGAAAGGACACTGAAGGCGTCGGGGCGCATTAGACAGCACCGCGGTCTGCGTGGGTTGCGGCGGGAGCAGGGGCTGATCCCACGGGGTCTTGCCGCCATGGTGAAGACTCGGGGTTTGTTCAACCACGAGACGGAAAGGATGGCCCACCCAGTGCCCTGTATGTCCGGAAACACTCGAAGTTGGGTCCAGTTTGGCAGGCCCTGGGGCCTCTAGGGGCCCCAGGCAGAGCTCCTCTCCCTCTCAGTCCAGACTCTCCCAGGGCGGGGAGGGAGGGAACGCTAACGCGCCCCCGACCACCACCACCTTTGATCATTTTCGCGGCAACAGATAATTTTCTATAATTTTCTACTCGGCTCCAAGCGGGTCAGCAAAACCAAAGCAATGCTTCTAACTGTCCGCGGAAGTTAGGGGAGCGAGCGAGGGAGCACCCGCTGATCTCCCGCCTAGGCCCGCCCCTGATCCGCCCCCAGGAGCCCCTCCTAGGCGATCCAGGACCCGGACCCGACCTCCTGGCCCAGCCCTTGGCTTAGCGCCAGCCGGGCGCAGGCGCAGAGCGCGAGCGCGGGGCTAGGGGCACTCCGCTCTGCATCTGGCCCAGCGCCGGGCGCTTTGTTCTCCGGCTCCGGGAGCCCCCGGCGAGTGCTGGTCTGGGGATGGCACGTGGTCGCCGACCTGGAGCCCCCGGCCCAGCTCCTTTCCTGCCCCGGGTGGCGCGTGGGAAGGGGGCTTGGGGGTGAGTTCTGCTCAGTCCTACGCTAAGCCCCAGGACCCGAGTCTCGCTCGCGCCTAGCCCAGAGCTCTCCCTCTGCTTCATTTAGTGCGGATCTCCCTGTTTAAGATCGGGAGGTATTCTCAGGCACTCTGGCAGCCCCAGAGCAGAGACCCCAAACTCGCCTGCTGAGATCCGGGAAGGACTCCTGGAGGAGGCGAGTCCGCAATGACCGAAGCTGGGGTGGATGGGGTTTGGTCTTGGAGGGCCTGGAATTTGGGGCAAAGGACCTGGGACTGTAACTGAGGGCAACAGGGATCTGCAGGGAGACAGGCTTTTTTCCAGTCACATGCATGTGGCTCCTCCCGGCTAAGACGACCCCTTCTCAAGAGACCAGAGGCTCCATGTTGCCCCAGCCAAGCTCAGGAAGTGAAAGTCGCCCAGTCCTGTCTGACTCTTTGTGACCCCATGGACTGTACAGTCCATGGAATTCTCCAGGCCAGAATACCGGAGTGGGTAGCCTTTCCCTTCTCCAGGGGGGTCTTCCCAACCCAGGGATCAAACCCAGGTCGATTCTTTACCAGCTGAACCACAAGGGAAGCCCAAGCTCAGGAAGGCAAGCCCAGATCTGAGTGAAAACACAAGCACCAAGTCAGTCATCCCTGGCCTCCCCTGGGTCCATCACTCTACTTTAGGGATGTTACAGCATTTAATCTTCACAGCGAACTCAGTGAATCCCTCCTGTTATCATTATTCCCATTTTCCGGAAGGAGAAAGTGGGGTGTGGTGGGCCACACAGCTATTACATGGGAGAGCTGGCATTCAGACCCTCTCAGTCTGACTCCAGGTTCCTCAGTCCGTGCTTTCTCTGTGCTGACTGCAGCAGGAGGCCGGGGGTGGCCAGGCCAGCCCAGCAAACCGTTCTGTGTGCCGGGTGATGGCTGCCAGGTGTGGCCAGGGCAGCGTTTGCTCTGTGGCCGTCCCACCTCTGCTCAGAGATGAGGCAGCCCCTGGGAGGACCGTAAACCCAGCTGAGGCTGAACCGAGATAGCAGTCCTTGTCCTCCACTGCGCTGTCACTGGACATCCTGTATTCAATCACCCACATATTCATTTCTTTTAATCATTCTTCTTGACCGTGATAAAGTCATGTTTATAGCCCTGAGAACGTGCGTTTCATTGGAATTAAGCATGCTGGGAGTCGATCAATTTTGTTGGAGAGCCGGGCTGATAAAGGAAGATGTATTTATATTTCAATGATTCTTTTTAACTGATTGTTCTCCAGGACACCCTCAGGCATCTCTTTCAGGGAGAGAGAGAGAGAGAGTGTGTGTGTGTGTGTGTGTGTGTGACAATCTGCATACCCACTTCTAGAACTCTGGAATGCTAAGGAAGGCCACCTGGGAGCCTGTCTGTAGGAAAGGCATCAGAGTTTTCAGACCCAGCAAGTATCCCTGTGTATATGACTGACATTCAGACCTCAGAATCTCATGGCTTCAAGGACTACAGTCAGCCCTCAATATCTGCTGGTTGCTTAAGTCCACAAATTCAGAACCCATGGATACAGAATTCTCAGATACAGAAGGTTGGCTGTACTATGCCATTTTACACAAGGCAGTTGAGCATCCGCAGATTTTGGTATCCTGGGGTGGTCCTGGAACCAATCCCCCGTGAATACAGAGGGATGACTACATGTGAGTTTGGACAATAAGCATTTTAATATTGGCCAATGGGAATGGAGAACCAGAGGATTCTCCCCCAAATGACCTGCTCTGAGTAAACCCTTATGACCTCAGTTCAGTTGGCAGAGGTGGAGGTGAGGAGGGAAGCTGAATTTTGACTAGTTGAATTTTCTTCTTGGCCAGTTGGATAGGGATTTGAAACTGATCACATTTAATGTTAGGAAATGAGTGATGTGACTACTCTGACTCCCAAAATGATGGAGCTAACTTATTTCCTGGAGAAGGGCACTGCAACCTACTCCAGTATTCTTGCCTGGAGGATCCCCATGGACAGAGGAGCCTGGTGGGCCATAATCCATGGGGTCGCAAAGAGTTGGACATGACTGAAGTGACTTAGCACACACACAGCTTATTTCAGGGATGTTAAATAGGGTTACACAAGTACTCCTGATCCTAGGGAGCTTCTTTTAAGTTCTTCTATCTATCAAGGTGATTACTTTGTTATCAGAGCTGGCACTTCCAAGAGTCCAGGTCTGCTGGGGCCTCATGACTAGTGCTTCAGTGGACAACCTGTGGCTGAAAGGAGAGAACCTTGCAAGCAGCCAGCCTGGGCCAGAACAGCCATGTCTAGGGACAGCATGTCACCGATTCCCATGGGTCCACTCTGCCTTGGAACCTGGCCTTATCTCATCCTGTCACCTCCTCTCATATCTTTCCAGGGAAGGACTTTAGCATGGAGCTCTGCAGAGTGAGGGATGGTTGTCAGGTATGTGACTGCGCATGAGCATACAGGCCCCTACGTGTGCATCTGTGTGGGCAGGCTCTGTGTGCACCTACATTTTTGTGCCCTTTTATGGGTGTGCCTTTATGTGTGCCTATATGCCTGAGTCTCCAGGTGCATGTTCATGCCTGTCTCTGGACATGTGTGCATAGTCCTACATGCATGTGCCTGTATGACCATGGGAGGTGCGGCCCTTTGATAATGGAAGGAACTCCCACATACTTCACCTGCCCCCACAACAGGAAGACTTGGGCGTTGGCTAAGGAACCACCTGCAGCCAGGACCCACCCACTGGGTGGCCCAGGACGTCCTCGCCACAGTCTGGGGATCTGCTGCTTCTTTCGCTCAGAATTCTGCTGGATGGTCCAACCACTGAGAAGCACTTTATTCCTGTAGCAGGAAGAAACAGTGGCAACCTCAGTTTACCTGTTTGAAGGGACAGTGCAGCCCTGCCACCCGATTGCCCAGGATCCTAGTGTGTAGATGGAGTGGGATTCTCTAAGCCAACCACTGCTTCCCTCTGGTCCACCTGTGAGTGGGAGAGGGCTGTCCATCATGCAAGGGCCAGCAGTTTTCACCTGACTGTGCTAAGACCTTAAGAAAGTCATTTCATCTCTCTGAGCTTCACATCTCTAGTGAGATAGAAAACTGTGCAGGACTGTTGCAAATCCATAAAGTTAAATCCTATATAAAATGAGAAAATGCCCCCTGACTGAGGACATGGGACATGTCTTCTTATCTTTGTCCTTTGGTATTTTGTAGGGGACCCAATGAGTGGCAAACTCCCAACTGATGTTTTCTAAAGGCTTGGACAGGTTTCTCAGGTGGCGCTAGTGACAAAGAACTTGCCTGCCAATGCAGGAGATGTAAGAGACTCAAGTTCGATCCCTGGGTCAGGAAGACCCCTGGACAAGGGCATGGCAACCCACTCCAGTATTCTTGCCTGGGGAATCCCATGGACAGAGGAACCTGGCAGGCTATAGTCCATAGGATCGCAAAGAGTCGGACATGACTGAAGCAACTTAGCATTCATGCAAAGGCATGGACAAGCGGGTAAATGAAGAAGAGTATCTGAGACACAGTGGATACACAATAAAAGTTAGATTTAATTTTTATGTACTCTGAGGCCAAACTTCTCAATTGTGTTCCACAAAGCATTATTGTCATTTGAAGGCTCAATAGGGAAAAACAGCCATGGTAAAAGGCTATACTGTAGTTAAATAATTTTGGAATATGGAAGGTTTTAGAGATTCTCAAATCAGTTAATTAATTCAGTGCACATTTATTGAGCTACTACTGTATATCTGGTACCATTCTGGCTGTTTGGAATTGGAAGAACTGTTGATAAGAGAGGCAAAAACCCCTGCACTTGTGGAACTTACTTTCTAGTGAATATTAGTGTTTCACGTTAGGCTCTGAGAAGTCCAGCAGTAAAGAAACCTGATAAACTTTGTTTAATCCAGTGTTCTCCATATTTATTTAATTATGGCGTATCCCCCCTTTTCTGAAATGAAAATTTAATTTTGCCTCATTTCTCATTACCAGTCCCACTCCCAACTCCAAGGTCCAACCCTGCCCCCCTCAAGAAGAACTATGGAATATAGTAACTAAATCAACCAGTTCTAAAGCCAGACTATCTGGGTTCTGAATCACACCGCCAGCACTTATTAACTATGCAACCCTGGGTAAACCTCAGCTTATTCATGTGCAAACTGACAATCAGCAAGGATTAAGTGAGATAATGCCATGTGTCCAATGCTCAGTAGTGTATCTGATATTTGGCAATTATTCTTCTAAATGATATTTATTATATTATGCCAGGTCTCCTCAAAATCCATAAGATAATGGCTAAGTTCCTTACATAGTATCCAGTGCTCTACTCATCTCCCCAGAGTCATCTGAAATCATTCTCCCTTTGAAAACCTGGTCATTCAGAACCACGTTCCAATTTCCATGGCTCCCAAACAGCCTCCAGTTGGTTCATACCTTTGCTTACGTGATGATTCTTCTTCCTAAAGTCTTCTGCTCAGTGCTGCCCACCTGGAAGACACATTTTCCAGACTCACTCCTGGAATCACCCTCGTTAAATTTGTACTCACTGTCTTATCCCTCAGCCCCAAAGGATCCACTTGCTGGTTACAGTTGCATAAATTACCGAAGCACTGCCAGTGGGAGAATCACACAATCAGCAGAATTACAATAAATAATGACTATTTTATGCCTGTAAGTTTTTTGGGGGGTTGTTTATTATCCAGAAACAGACAACCAAGTCAAGACCCTTGAAGTCAGCAGCAATTCATCTTCATCTTGACCACTGTGGTGCAGATGAGTGCTTAGGGATCCCTAGAACCACTGATGGAGCCAGAAGTTAGTGAATACCCTGGGTTATCTTCAGCCCAGACTATAGCTGGGATAAATGAGGGACATGCCATAAATCATTAAAAGAAGGACCCTAGTAGGAAAGAAGTGTCAGAGAGTATGCCAGTCAACAGATCCATTGACAGACACATTGAGCTGTCCAGCGTGG